AAAATGGAAGTTTCTCAGGCGGGCGGATCAGGAGATACGGCGACCTTCACGACTAACAAAGTGTGAGACGAGAAATGTGGGGAGTTTACGAGGTGAAAAAAAAGATGACAGAAATTCACAGAAATGTGGCTCTGGCTCAATAAATACCCATCTAAACCACAACAGAGACGCCAAGTTTACCTTCATCGAGGCCCACCTGCAAGTGGAAATGGTTTCCTGTCCTACACAAACACTCTTGTACCCTAATCCACGTAATTACACCCAATATTCCACATGTGTAAGTACACATGTACAACATTACAGTTAAAATTTAGGGGGGAAAAGTGGGAAAAGGGTTGCAGACCCTCCTGCAGCACCTCCCCTTTCCTCTGTGTATCTGCACTGCAAAAACAAAATCCTGCCAGGTCAGACCGAGTTTCTACTGCAAATACCTTAGCACACACTACGTTTTCAGAAAGAAAAATGTGCTTGTTTTAAGTCAATAATTCCTCAGTAGTGGTGAAAAAGAGGCAGATTATTTCACTTATCTGACGTATGAAATGTTTCAGAATTATTCATAACTTAAAAGAAAACTTTTAAAATCCAGTTAATGAAGAAATAACTTTTACACTGCAAAAACACAAAATCCTGCCAAGTATTTTCGGTCTAGTTTCTGGTGTAAATACCTTAGTACACTTGGAAAAAAAACACAACTTAACATGTCTTTTCAGCAAGAAACAGGATCTTTTTTGTAAGTAAACAATTCATTAATATTGATGAAAACGTTTTAGTTCAACTCGGAGATTATTTCACAGGAAAAATGTTTTGTAATAATGAAATAATCTGGGAGTGATACTACAACTTTATTACCAATAAAGTTGCAATAAAGTTGAAAACTGCACCAGAAACTAGAATACTTGGGAAGGTAAAAAAACTACCAGATCCACTGGCAATTTTTTTGTTGTTGTTGCATGTAACAAGAAATTTTTCCCAATTAGTGAAAAATCTGCCAGCAGAACTAGAACAAGCTGCTGTATGTTGCTGAAAAGTTACTTGTAGGTCAGTGTTGTTTCATTTCAAGTGTAATAAGATATTCGAAGGAGAAGTTCACCAAAACCAGTTGGTGGGATTTTGTGTTTTTGCAGTGTGTCTGCAGAAACAACACAGAAGAGAAAAGCAGATAAATCAGGAAACTTGAGTGTCATTAACCTGAAGCAGATCTCAAACAAAGCCCCCGTCTGCGAAGCGTCGAATAGATGAGTGTGATTTCGCGGCTGCCTTGGATAAGCATTCCTGCGAGTGTGTGTGCAATTAGGGCTTAGGTCTGTTTGTGTGTGTACAGTATGTTCATGCGTGTGTGTGTGTGTGTGTGTGCGGCGGCGGTGGGGGCCGTTAGCGGTTCCATCTGGGCCTCCTGGAAGCCGCGTGGAGTCAGAAAAACCGCATCTCATAAAAGGAGAGGCAGCCCAATGTTCTACAAGGACAGAACATTACTGAGAATGTCGCTCAGGAAAGCCTGGGCTCCGGCCCACATGTTGGCTCTCCGCTCGCGCTCTTATTATTTCGCTCTGCGAGGGATAAGACAGAGGAAGACAAAATAGCTGGTGAGGAGTGTGGGAGACAGTAGCTGAGACAGAGAGACTCGCACTGATTGCTATTCCATCTGTCGGCGCGCAGCAGAGGAGTGAGCGGTGACAAGCTCAGGAGTCGGGCATCTGGTGCATGTTGGCCGAGGGGCTTTCTGGAAACAACCAGCGAGACGAAGAGGAGGAGGAGAGGAAGGGCGAGGGGTTGCAACCAGAGTGAAAAGGGAGAAGGATTATCTTGATTTAACCAGCAGAATATCACAAAAATACAGACGTTTTAAGGTAAAAACGAACAGTACACTGCAAAAACACAGCAGCTTACCAAGTGTTTTATGTCTCGTTTCTACAGTGTATATCCTAAAATAAGATCAAACTAACTTACAAGTAGCTTAGCAGCAGGACATAAGATCCTGTTTTAGTGATAATTTCTTAATATTGATAAAAAAACATTAGTAGATCAACAGGCTGATTATTTCACTTCAAACATGAAAAAATGTTTTTTTATATGTTAAATAATCTGCCAGTGGAACCAGTAAAGTTTCATTAATATTCAAGAAGCATTGACTTAAATCAAGCTCTTATTTCTTGCTGAAAAGTTACTTTTAGGTTCGTTTTCTCTCATTTCATAAGATATTTGCATTAGAAACTAACATTTTGTGTTTTTGCAGTGCATGTATGACCTGATTGCGAAGCGGTGCTAACTGACTGGCTGCCAACAGAAGATTGATACGTTCTACGGTTCAATATCTAAACAAAAGGTTGGGATTTTCCTGAATGAGGATGAGTGGAGCCAAAATAAGCTGTGTATTTTCTGTTGTAAAATAAATAAATCAATAAATAATAAAATTTTGGGTACATTTCATTGTGGAGATAAAAATATGTTTTTGCTTTTGAAACAAAAGAAACCATGATTAGAGCCAGAGTATTAGCTTATTTTATTTCCACAGTTTAGTTCAGTTTGTTGCCAAATTGACAGCAGTGTAACCCTTATTAAATAAAATTTTAATGAGCCATACTCTTGCTTTAATATTAGCGCCAGGACTTTAATGTGTTAATTTGGATTGTTTTTTATTACATTTGTCCCAAGCAGAACTTTTGCATTCACGTGTTTCTGGTACACCCATAAATCAGACGCACAAGCAGCATTCGCTGACGGTTACGGTGATGAAGCCACCGATCTCGGCTCACTGCTTCAAAACCCGATCTGGTTGAACGCTGGAATAGACTGTTATTGTGGTCAAGTTGTGCTAAAACCAGTTAGCTTACCAGCACAGCTATTCAAGCTAAATTAGCATCCAAATGCTAAACCTGTAGCAGCAGCACACATGCTAAAGCTAATGTCAGCGTCCACAGTCCATGTTTCTAAACAAGCTGCAGGAATAGTCGGGACTTCCTGAAACTTTGCACCAATCTGATGGTTGAAGAAGCTGAAAAACTAAAAACATTAAATCTCTCTATTGTTGAGCTCATATGTATATTTATTCAGTAATTTAGCAGTAAAGGGGTATCAAACGTGAAATAAGTGAGCCTGCCATCTCATATCCTGAATCGGCATAAAAAACCCCAGAATGCCTGCACCGATTTACGAATTCATCACCAAACATCGTCCCCTGACATCATTATTAAAAGCAAATCTTATCATCTCCAAAGCCATTCTCCTCATTTTATCTCTCATTTAGCACGGCGGTGAGGAACACACCCTGACATAAAGCGAGGCCCGGAGGCTCGGGGAAGATGATTGAATTTCATGGCTACTCCCAGGCTAATAGGGCCGAGCAGCGAGCGCTTACTGTCCTGAAGTGACTGGCTGCTCGTCTGCGGCTGCGGCGCCTTTGAAGCCCGTCTGAGCAGATTGGGAGGATTTAGGCAGCGGCGTGACACGAGGCTCAGCAACTCTGCTCCCACCAGCTGACTATTAGATCCAGCTGATAAAAACACAGCTCGCCCAGAAGCTTAAACCCGGATGGAAAATGGAGCTACTCTGGGGAAACACTACAAGTTGCTCTTATAATACATTTATAAAGGATTCACAGATTGTTAATCAGCTGTAAATGTGAACAACAAGAAGTGGAAAGAGCACAATCACTGCTAAAACTCAAAAGTTTCTAAAGCAAATATCTCATTTCACTTCAATTAAGACAAATCTAACTTACAACCAACTGATCAGCCATAAATAGTAGCTTGTTTTAAGTCAATAATTCCTTAAAGTATACAAAAAAGTGTTAATTATAAGTGAAAATAATTGGCCAGTTGAGCTAGTACTTCTTTGTATTTATGTTTTACTTTTTATGTAAATTGTCTAATTTTTTAAACAAAAAAATAACATTAGTCATACAATCTAATTTACCTAAATATTAATGTAAATAAATGTTGCTTACTTTACAAATTAATAGCACAGCATTGATTAAATATGAAAACTGAATTAATGTTTTTAACTATTACTGATAAAATATTTGTCTTTATGGCATAATTAAGTTTATTTAGATTTTCTTTTTGTTGTTGGTATTGCCAACTAATTTTGTCTTTAGATTGTTAACATTATTGTGATGATTTTCAATTAAAATTATTATTTATAGTTAAAAACATGCCAACTCTATGCAGAAAGACACCAGATTTAAAACTATTATATTATTATATTATATTATATTATATTATATTATATTATATTATATTATATTATATTATATTATATTATATTATATTATATTATATTAATGTAAAGGAAAGAGTTGTGAAGCAGTTTCCACCTCCAGCCCAGTCTGCACTCACCATACTGTTCCACTTACGTTCTTGGAAGCCCAAACCTTACATGCATTGAGATAAGCACACTTACTCACACTCAGATTTACACACATAGGGCTAACCACATGCACATGTTCAGTCACTGTTAACTAATTCATTCAGGAACACTTTGGTTTGGGTTTCAACACCAAAACCTCTGCACCGTTGATTGAGAAACGTGCCTGTCTGCAATTATCTGGGAGGGACGAGTGGAAGGAGGGATGGTTGGATGGATGGGGAGAGGAAACACACTACAGTGGTTTTATAGTTTGCTGGCGTGACATTTTCTCCACTTTGGTTTTTTTTCCCTCTCCTTTCCTTTTTTTCAGGCTGAGGGGCACACTGTAGTGTTTTTGGGGCAGGAAAACAGGGGGCGAATCGAGGCGGGAGTAACAGCGGGGAAAACGTTGGGAAAATGGGGCTGAAGTGGCCGAGATTGTCACTGCTACGCTTTCGATCGATTCCTCTCAGAAAAGCCGCGCCAGTCTGAAAAATTTGTGGGCTGTGTTTAGTGCAAAAGTGAAGGTGATAGTGATCACTGGTGTGGACTTATTCTCCACTTTCAGAAATAGCTGAAAATTGTCAGTAAGGGCTCCATTTTGGAGCGGCGAGAGACTAGGGACGCCTTGATAGCGCTGTGTGGCGGCCACTGACCTGCAGTATGTAGCCCCTGACGTAGTCTCTGAGGGTCCAGCCCAGGCCGTGCAGGATGTGCAGGACCTCCTCCTGCTTGAGCACGGAGAACAGACGGTCCAGCAGGATCTTGAGCCTGACGGGAACCGCCTGGGTGCCGTACAGCATCAGGCTGCTGATGTCAAACACCACGTTGGACTGGACGATCTCCACCTGAGTCGGGTGGTACAGGTGCTGGGTGCTGAGTTTGTCCAGGGCTGCAAACAGATGACGAGAAGAAGATGAACAGCGAATGCTAAGAGGAGCTAGGTTGGAGTTCTCTCCTCTCTCTAGTCCACCAGTGAGCAGTGGTGGGCACCGCTAACAAAAAAATTAGCTATCATTAAAATCATGTTATTCCAAGGCAGTATTTAGCAGAAACTATTGCTAAATGCTATGCCAAAATGATATTAATTGGAAGCTAAAAATAAACCACAACTAACATAATATTTAGCACAAGCTAAAGCGCAATACCAAGATAGTACTTAGCAAAAGCTAATGCTAAAGCAATATACAAAGATGGTATTTACTAGAAGCTAATGCTAAAGCACTAAACCAAAACAGAAGTAAGCATAAGCTAATGGGCTAAACCAACAGAGAATTTAGTGGAAGCTAACATTAAAGTGCTCTAAAAACACAGTGTTTGGTCAGAGCTAATGCTTAAACTCTGTTCCAAGATATTATTTAGCAGAAGCTAATGCTAAATCACTAGACAAAGACAGCATTTAGCAAAGAATAGTAGTGGAGCTCTAATACAAGACAAAAAGAAATTCCAAAATGCTAAACTTAGGCAGCATTTAGGAGCTAATCTGAAATGCTACACTATGACAGAAAAGCATTAGGCTAATTGCTGCACAATATATCACCTTCAACAGGGTCAAACTTTCTGTTATTCACCGTTGTGGGTCATGATTCTTTGGAGCAAACCTTTCACTCATGGTTTTATTTAAAGCTTTCTTAACAGTCAATAACTAAAACTTAAACACAGATGTCAAATGTTATTCAAGTGAAAGTTCATGAAAAAGCCAAGTGAATTAGAAGCTAAATGCGCTAAAGGTTTCCAAAGTTAGCAAAAGTGCTAAAAGAGAAATTAGCTCTGCTATTAGCGCATTAGCAAAAATTTGCCCACCACTGCTGGTCAGTATCTGCTGTTCTGTTCATTTAGTCCAACATAGTGCCACGCCCAAGTCTTCTGCAGCCTGTAACAGGTTTTCTTTAAGGTCTGTCAAGGAGTTTGACCTGATAACCTGCACAGCATGATGCTATATCGTTAAGTGTCTCTGCTACTCAAGGTGATATAAAGTTTTTCATGTTCTCATCTGATCAGAACACCATCGTCCACATTTAAATCATTTTACTTACTTATCCTACTTGCTAGTAGAGGTGTAAATAAAAATGAACGTCAGGTAATTTTTTAAAAATATTTTTCAACCTTTACTGCACTGACACCCTGACAGTTCAGGTACAGCATTATAAACTCTTTTTGACCCAAAGGCATGTAAAGAACAGTGATTTATGACCCGACTCTGATGTAAAAAAGCAGACCGAACTCCAGCTGGAGGGCAGGTGGGCTCACATGTTGCTTTAGGTCCAGCAGATTTGTTATTAGCTCTACTGTTCAACCTCAGTCACCTCTTTCCACTCTCTGACTGTCTGGGCGACACCTGTTTGACTCGTCCTCTTTGTCTCAGTTCTTCCTTTCTTCCCTTACTTCATCCTTCCCCCTCCCTCCTACCTGTCTGGGTGACACCTGGTTGCGTCTCTCTCTCTCTCTCCCTCTCTGATCCTGGGACGAAGGCTTCGCCTGACAACGGCAGCGCAGCCAGACACGAACATAATAAAATATGAAGAACTACTTGTCAGAGTCCCTGCCAATGCCGACATGAAATGAAAAGCGGGGGAGAGCGGAGAGATGTGTGCCTGACAGCTCAGTTCAGAGGGAGAGATTAAAAAATAGTCAATGGGGTCCTGTGCGATCCGCTGAAGGCCTCGCAGCCTGTTCTTGCGCGGACGAGAGCCAAACAGGTGTTTTCTTTTAATCTCCCCCTCCTTCCTTCTTCGCTTTGTACTTTCTTTCCCTCTTCTCCCTTTTTCTTCTTTTTTACCTGTGTAATAAAACTGATAAGGTGTGGTCTCTAACATTACTTTCTCCCCTGTAAAAATGTGTTTTTGTTGGGTTTTCTGCAAAAACAACCATTAGAGAAAACGAAAACAGAACGGGGAAACAAAGGTGGAAAAGTTTGACATTTCTACCAAGTTTATTTATGACATAAGCACAAAATACTCGCTGCAGAACAGAATGCATGCTTTGGGCATCTACAATAGTTTTCCAAGCGGAGGATATGTATAGACATAAGGTCAGGACCTTGATGGCACACTAACATTTTCATATACAGCACAGTTTGGGCATCGTCTTACCATGAGCTACCCAGCCGTGCTTGCACTGGTCACATGTCCGCAGGTGAATCTTTCCAGGCTGGAAACACTCGCATGTGCAGTTCACCAGTGTGCACCGAATGGCCTGCAGAAACACGAGAAACAAAGTGGAGTTTAGTCACAGAACAAAATAAAAGAAGAAACAAAGTGGAGTTTAGTCACAGAACAAAATAAAAGACAACAGGAAGGAGCTGATTTTCAGCTCCAATTGATGGCACAAAGTTTTTCAAATGGCCTTAAACTGTTTTCTACTTAAGGAATCTCATTGTGAGTAAATCTTCATTTGGGCAGACAGAGCGTTCGCATAATGTTGCTCAAGATTAAGAGTCATTGTGGAAATATTGGACTAAATGCAGAATATTTTGATCAATTTCTTCCTGCTCAGACATTGAACCAATGGGAAGGTGGAGACTTTATAACTTATGGTTCAATATTTTCTAATGCTACTGAAACAAAACACAGATATCTAATAGTTTTGGGTTCAAAGTGCCAAATGAAAGCTTCCCTTTCTCAGATATTAAACACAGCTGTCTTTTTTTATTTATCATAATAAACATTTAGTCAGCTATAATCTGAATATATATATATATAACTGGTTATTATGGTTGTTCAAAAACTAAAACCTCAAAATATAACAATTTCCTCAAAGCAGAGATGAAATAAAAATGAAATCTCTGCTTCATCTCATGAAGCAGATTCTGCTGAAAACACACGGAGCTGTGGCTCCATTACTCAACACCGGAGCTGCACTTCATCTGACCTTGGAAAGCTTTTAGTACTGAAAGGTTAAGTGTCCAGACACGACGGGGGCATCTCAGTACAACACATACACCATGTCAGCCGACGGCTGCTCCACATAAACAAATCTTTAAACATATTTTGCAGGACTTAAAAAAATCTAAATTTTTCTTAAATTAATTTTAAGAACAAAGCAGCTGCTTGCAGTCACAAAGCAAATACAGCTCACTCATCCAAATAAGTGCAACAGCTGCAAGCTGTAAGTTTCATGACAACAAAGAGCAAAAGAAGGAAAAAACATTAATCTTGATATCAGCTCATCATTTATTATATGTATTTTCTTTATCTTATCGAGATGAACTGATAAAATTTGCAGGAATTCTGCAGCTGAAGGAGAACATGTTCTGAACAAAACCAGAACTTTGAAAACTCTTGCCTCTCTCTGCAGTTTTTAAGGATTAGAGCTTATATATATATATATTTTTTATGTTAATATGAAAGAAAATTGTTTATTTTGACAGGGGAATCTAAAGCATCCAGTAGTTTGGACATCGGTCAGAGAAAAAGAAGCTGTGGAGAAACGTCTGCTGGCTCTCAAACTGAAACCTCGCCTATCAGCTGCTGAAATTTTATGAATTTACAGCCTGAACTGTCTGCGCTATCACAGCTTTTCTCGCTGTTTGGTGTGGCAGCTTAGTGACAAAAGGTCGCAGGTTTGTGGCAATTATTTCACAATATCAGAGCCAATCAGCACTCCAGCTGCACAGATGAGAGCGCTGATCGATCAGTGAGAAGCAACAAATATTTCTGCTGCTCGCCGCATGCGCACAAACTCAAGGGCACGTTTAGGTGTTCAACAGAAAGTCTGTGGATTAGCAGCTCTTCCTGCAACATATAAAACCTCTAATCTACTAAGGGAGTGTAAAATCTATCAGAATCCACTCCTGCGTGCCTTGAGGTGTTACAAACCAGATTAGTTCCTGCAGGTGTCAAAGTGAACATGGGCTAATCCGAGATTAAACACAAAATTACACCACTTCCAGCCGCGTCGCCTCGCAGTTTGACACCGGATGACACTCGAGGCGGAGGTGATTTGAATTTACAACGTTTTTTTAAGCTCTCCAGGTGCGAGGGGGGATTATGTGTCAGGTTTACAGAACGTCGGCGACTGAAATCCAGACCTGAGCGCTCTTAATGGGCTGACGGTTGCTTCCCTCAGCAGACCTGGCTCCTCACAGGCAATCACACAGCCAGAAATGTGAACATTTTTAGACATAAAAGGCCAGCAGAAATTATCTAGATTTATTTTCTCTAGCAGTCAGGTTCTTTTTCATTTTGTTATAAAATATATTGATAAAAAAAACAAACTAAAATTCACCAATTTTCCTTTCCTCGAGTAAATTGTCACTGATACTAGTGTAAAAATTGCCAATTATCCCTTTAGTTTATGCTGTTAGCAGAGAACTTGGGTAATTGTAACCACATGAAAAAATTCATATTAGAACAATACTTTTTAGATCCCAAAGGGAAATTAAATGTTATTGTGACTCAAATTAATTCAAATTCTGCAGTAATTTCAGACAGTGAAGGTTGTTGGCTATTTTTATTTTGTTTTTTGTTAATTTAGAAAAGAGATTTCTTTTGAAAAATTGTAAAAATGTGGTTCACAATTAAAAGGTAAAAGACATCAACGAAAATATGTTTATTGATGTGTAAAAATGGTTGAAGCGTCTTCAAACGTACTTGTTCGGGTTAAATTGTTCAGTCCAATATTTAGCACATATACCTTGGCTAAATGAAAATAATTAATTAAACTTCTTTGATGAGATTAAATAGATGCTTTAAGTTACACTGTAAAATTAGAGTTTTGGGTTAATAACGGAATAAATAAAGTTGAATTCTATTCTATTCTATATCTTAACTAAACTTTAGATCAAACATTTTGTGCCACTTTGTTGGGTTAAATGAATCTGCCACTTCACAGATTCAACAACCTGGTCAGACTTCAGAAAATTAAATGATGACGACTAATATAATTAACATCAGTGAGTTGCATTAATGCTGTTCAGTTACATTGACCCCTGTAGCTCAAAACCTAACTCAGGATCCGACTTTTACCTCATTGACGTGAGTCATAATTCTGCACCAGACGAAGCCAGATGCCATAAATCTGGACGTAAATTAGCTCGCTTTGTTTTTGCTTGGCTTCCTTCACTTGTTATGACGTTGTGAAGATACTGTCGGCTTCCATTATTGAATAACTTTAAAATCGATCCACAGAGAGCAGCGTCCATTACACCAAGACCTGCATAATGAAAAGTTTTTAACCAAACGCAGATTTAAGTAATTATTAACACAAGTCAACGTTAAAAAGAATGCTATTATTTATGTTGAGTACATTAGTGATATAATTTTGCTACAAAAAGATGAAGACAAATCATATTACAAAATAAAAACTGTGTTCAGTCAATGGTTTGGCTTTCAACAACAGCCATAGTTGCTTAAATGGCACCTTGGGAAAACCAGCTGCTCCTTGGTGGAGACAGGCTCTGCAGAGCGTTTGCAATGTGGGGACTTTCTTTTCATGTATGAGAAACCACGGTGCGCAATATTTATATCAATAGACCATAAACAGCTGGATTATTTAACCAAGCCAATAACGTTTTGCAGCTGAAATGACGTTGCTTACCAGATGCTTTTTATTCCTTTCTTTTTTTTTATCTTTTACCCCACGTTAAACTCTCTTTCCTTTTCCTTCTCTCGGGAGCTTTCTGTAAAACATCACGTTGTCACACGGTGCAGGCGTTTCGGATGAAGCGGGATCGGTGGAAATAAAACAAATGGAAATATCAAATGCACCTCCGCTGTTTACAAGCTGAACTCTGACAGCTGATGAGATGGTTAAGGGGCGTCTAATACGGCAATTAGAGCATGCCACTGTCTGCGGGCCGCTGCTGCTGTGACAAGGCGCCCTCTAATCACTGACTTATTACGCCGGCTTGCAGCACCTCTCATATCTGGCCCATTAAGCAGACAACAGCATTAAGAACAGCAATAAAGAAGCAGCAACCCCCTTTAACTGAGTGGGTAATGATGGCAGAAAGGGTGAGGGAACAGACTGCTTGTTAGTTCTTACGATTAATTTGAGTCAAAGTTGTCAGACAGCAGTAACATAATAAAAATCTTTGCGATGACATCAAAGCTTATAAAGACAAAACATTGGAAAGAAGGTTGGCAGAAAAAACAAGACACTTGCTATAAAAATGTTTTTTGTTCGCTTGGGTTACATGATATGTATGCCGTATTAAATCACCACTAACAGATTAGCAGTTAGCTGTTAAGCTAGTGGGGCAACTAGCATGCTAGTGCAAAAATTCTACCCTCAAAACGTCTTCTACGTAAAGCTACTAATGAAATAACAAATATTATAAGATCATACATTTATGGGGATGGTAGTAATGTGTTTGGTGGATTTTTACAACCAGCAATTAAAAAATAAAATGGGACAGCTGCTAAACTAGCTGTCCCGCTAGCTTAGCAGTCTTCTTAGCAGTCTGCTAAGCTAGCGCGACAGCTAGCATGCTAGCGCTGAAATATCAACACAGTAGTTAACGTCTTAACGTCTTTAAAAAAAGACTGGATGATAAAATAACAAATGTCATATGATTATAACTTTATGGGAATGATATTTATGTGCTTGGTGGTTGAAGTTGTGTTTTCAACCAGGAATTATAGAATAAAATGGATAAAAGCGAGAAAAAAACAGAAACTGAATCCTGATTCTGTATATTCTCACACCCTGTCTGATCCCACCGCTGCACTTTTACATATTTGTCACAGCAGGCAAAGAGGGGGGAGGATGTTCGGCCAAATACTCCACATTAGTCACCGTACAAACGTCTCGCCAGCGTTTCCTTTCTGGCTCGGACCGAAAGAGGACGATGTTCAGCAAAAGCTGAAGAAATTCCCACAACGCTGCAGCAATTAGAACCAGACAACAGTCAACACTCACGCACAGCTGCTGCGGTGCCGCTGCAGTCAACAGCTAGTCCGGTGTCATTTTTTTCCCTGTTTCTTCTGCGCTTATCTTACTCAACTCTCTGTGTGTCGCTGCAGGGTTTTGTTTAGCCAGAGGCTTGATGTTTCGTGGATGTTTTGCTTGGCTCGCCGCCGCTGTCCCAGCCCCGTTGTGTAAACACTGACAGCATCGAGATCTCGATTAAAACACTTAACGGGACAGATGGAGTGAAGAAGTTGAGCAAAGAGGAACAACAGAAGGTCAAAGGTCATTTTCAACAGTCTGAACATCTCAGCATCACAAATACAAAACCACAAAGAGACAAAGAG